AAGGCGAAACGCTGTGACGAACGAGGCGACGAAACGGGCAACGAAGCTGAAGGATCCTCCGTCGAGTGACAAGATAACGGTTGAAGTTCCGAGGGCACTTCAATTTGAAGCACAGAGCTGAGCGCTATACAGTCGGATAACATCAAACAAATCAAGGAACGACTGAAGCATACTTTTTAAGTGTGACATACGTACATACAGTGGCGAAATTAAACGATTTACATGGACAAATTTGTCAAGCGATATTTTCGTGGAAACTTTTTCTATGTTATGTCAACTATACGCATAGTCGAGTGACACGAATGTGTGACAAAGAATCAGAGATACAAAAAACTACTTTAATATTTGTTAGCTGATATTCACAACAACCAATTTAGATTTACGAACTCAGCCACTGTGCAACTTTTAGCTTCATACTCGTTTGATAAAAACTGTTAATTAAAAAAAAAAAAAAAAAAACTAGAAGAGTTGCGAAACCATATCTCTTATAATGTATAATTTTGCGAGATCAAAGATCAAGAAATTTTGGAAGAAATCCAGAGAAAAGAACGAATGTCGCGAAAGCGGTCTTAATTCCTTCGACGACGCTCTCCCGAAATCCCGAGACAAAGTGCTCGAACGAAGGAAGACGGTTGATAGTGCGACGGAACAAAACTGTTAGGTTCGTTGCAGCGAAGACGCGTCCTCGGCACGGTGAAGCGAAGACCTCCTCGAGGATCCTCGAGAGTGAAGAGGATCGAAGGGAAGGTACTCACCGGTACTGGTAGCATTGAAGGCCAACATCGGTGGAGGCGGCGGGATCCCCCTCTGGCAGGCCACCTCGCTGGCAGTCAAACTGACAACTCCGCCGCTTTCTTTGTACATGAAGCACAATCTTCGACTGTTCCTGTACGGTTGGGGCCTGTTGTTCTCGCTGGACCAGCTCGTGCCAGGCGCCAGTTGGGTGGCGATCACAAACTGGGTGCCCTCCGCGTCGAACCATTTACCGTGACAGGAGTAAGCTGCGAAAGAGAAAGCAAACGTTTTTCTTCATCCCTTCAGCCCGTTGAACGTTGAAACGAACTTTCGGAATAAGTATTAGTCTAGGCCGACAGGTAGTCTCGGCTTGCTCGTTAATCCTCGAATTCTGCCATTATCCTTTAAATAAACTACAACAAATTTCGTAGTCTCAACGTAGTCGACGAAATAAAACCTCGACTGTGCTACAATGACTATTTTGACGGATTTGTATCGCGAGCTTTGTTATTTACACAATTTTAACTGGTATTATTTAAGTTTCTCTTTTATACTATAATAGTTTTATATAAGTAATCTATGAGCAAAGTTTTATTTATTACTCGAGGTTTAATCCATTCGTATCAAAATGTCAATATCGTATTGAACGAAAGAGACGAGTTCTCCAACGAAATTTCGATAACAAGTTCGTGAAATAAATTCTGGAAATAGGAACGATGAAATTTCTATTAGACTCACCGATCGCGTTGTCTTCGACGCAGTCCGTCTGAAATTCCATTCTATCGGCGGTGGAGCAGCCGATGGTTATTGTGGTGACTTCGGAGCTGCATCTAGAGACGTCTTCCTCCCTTTTCTCTCTCCTCTCGAACGAACCTCTGCCGGAATCCAGCTCTCCGACGTTCCTCCTCGTCCTCGTCATTTCTCTGCCCGATCTCTTCTTTGGCAGATCAGCGGTGTCCGGGTAGTCGCCGAAATAATCTTCCTGGACCTCGAGCATGCTCGAGCCGTCCGAATCGTCGAAATCGGTCGCCCAGAATTGCCTGATCCGTGTGAAATCGTCCGCGTCCGCCCGGAAGTCCTCCGTTTTCGGGTTTCTTTTCGATCTGTCGTTCGTTCGCCGCTGGACGCCCGTCGAACGTTTGGCGAGCTCGTGCGCTCGTCTGAGCTTCGACCTCGATGCGCCCTCGGCCGATCGCTGGTCCTCCGATCCTCTTCTGACCTTCGATCTGGCATGGTCGCGCAGCAGGTCCTCGATGTCCAAAGTTCGCTTGGCGGGCACCTCCTCGACGCTGTGATCGCGGTGATTTCTGTTGCTGCGGTTCGATCTGGCGCGTCTGCCCATTCGTTCGTGGACGAGGTACTCGTTGTTCGCTCGGCGTTTCTCCACGTCGAAGTCGAGCTTCCGGCCGCGTCGATCTTCCTGGGTTCGTTCCTGGGCGTGTCGAACTTTTTCTCTGTCACGCTTGACGCCGTCCTGGTGCTGGTTCCTCCGGCTTTCACGGATGTTCCGCTGGTTCCGGTTCACCCCCGTCACCGTAAATTTGCCCAAGTAAGGGCACGTACGTGGCTCCGGCGAGCTGGCTGAAATTTCCAGAAAATCGTTCGTTGAGAAACGAGGAAATTCTTCCCGAAGAATCCGCACGGCTTTCCCCATTAGAATACCGTTTATTTTCGCCCGTCCCTGCCACATCTTTCCTGGGCACGTTTTTCAGATCGATCTTACCGACGCGCTACCGAGCAGACGAGAACGTTTAAATCTTCAAAAATATCGGAGAAGGAGAGAACTGAAAATTGCGTTGTGTCGATCGAGCGTGTTTTTATAGTTTTCAACGGAGGAAACGAGAGCATATATTCGAGATGCCAGCCTGCGTTCCGAATTGATTAGGACTTTCTGCCGACGCGACCGAGCCGACACCTCGATAAACCACCTGTCTATAAACTTTCGCCGAAAGATCCTTTAAGACAGAGAGACACCGGCGAAGTTGCTGAGAAACATCGCGACCCGAGATCTCCCGACTGAATTACAAATTACCTGTTTCACGTGTATACCGAGAGTAATCAACAAGAAACTTTCGATGCCGGTCTATCGATCTTCCTTAACGACGCTTTCTCGTCGAAAGATCGATTGTTCGATAGGATGCCAACTATTCGTTCGGCCTCCTAGTCCGAGCCTAATCGAAACGTTTCGATTCGGGTCAAGATTCGAGGCGTTCCTCTTGGAACATCGAACGAACGCCGACAAGAGAGATGCATAGAGAAAATCGTCGGCTAGATAGGATAAGGTCACGCGGAGAGTAGCAGAGATCGCAAAGTGAGCAGAAGAAGCGCATTGCGGCTTTAATGGAAGCTCGTTAGACAGCGGGAGGAAAGAAGAAAGGAATCGCGAAGGTTTCGGCCTAGGAGACGAAGAAATAAGATGAACGAATATAACGAGAGAGCGTGGATCGGCAATAGGCAGGCACAATGCGAACTCTAACGAGACAAATCTGACGTTGCACCCCTGGGCTAGTCGTTCTTCTCCTCCTCTACTTAGCAACAACCCCTTTCCCCGACGCTCTCACCATCTTGCCGAAGGATTCCCGACAGAATCTCTGTCTTTTCTGCCTTCGTTCGTTCGTTCATTCGTTCGTTCGTTGTTTCAGGATCACCGCCACTCTCCTCGGGGTATTATTTTCCGGCTTAATGAGGCGGCTCGAGGTGGGCAGGAATCCAAAATGCTAAACAAACATCACGGACTCGACGTGATGGAATATTTGCCGAAGTTTCGGTCGCGCGTGTCCCGCAACTGTTTGCCGAGAACTATCGATTTTTTTGCCTTTCAAATTTCACCTCGACCTCCCGAGAAAACTTTGACCCGCTTGCGCCGCCTCTGTTTGCCGATGTAAAGGATTTTCCTCCGGCGGCTGTTGCCTATCGCCGATAGATTTCATTGTTTTCCTGGCGTTCTAGTAGCTTTTGTCGCTTTAGCCGAATACCGAACTCTTATTCTTACCCTCGGTTTCTTTTACCGATTTCCCTCCTTTGCTTCTTTGTTTAAGTTTTACATTCTATAATTCTATCTCACTTCGCTCACTGGTACGAAATATGCGGTACGTGAACACTTACTTACGGAAGATTTTTATGGATTTAATTACGTACGTTGCACGAAATTCTTGGAAGTCTTATTGGCACTGTAATGAGATATAATTATCGCGATTATATATAAATTGCACGAACAGTAGTTTTAATCTTTGATCATTACGGGCGACGTAAAATAGAAAATAATGTCTTAAATTCAAGTAACATACATGAAAGTCAAATATAAGATTACAGTTAATGATATAATCGATAATCAGTTGTTTAAATGGTTTTATGTTCTCTACGTACATTCAATATTTTATAGCTTCTATGTTTTAGAATATGTGAACTCCTATTTTCAAGTTTGTTTCAAACTTTACCGATACAATCATAATAGTCGGATTTAATTGCTAATGAAAATTTCGAAAATGTTTCGTACAACAGGTACTATAACATGTTCGTAAAAGCTTTTTACAAATCCTCCGAAACATTTCCTTGAACCGGTGCACACAGATATAGAGATGCAAGGTGGAGAAGAATTCGTAACTAAAAACATTTTTTTCGCCCTGAAGTTTTATTCTCTCTCGTCGCGATCGAGAAATCGCTTTCGATGCTCGTTTGGGCAAAAAACCAAGTAACAAAAATCTCGTTATTTTTATGGTTAATTAGACATGTATTACACTGGGTCAAAGGCGATTCCGGCAAAGGAGACTTGATTTTTCCGACTCGTTAGGCGATTCCCGATACGAAAGTCCTGGCCAAAGGGATGGACCAGGGGTGAGATCCCAGTGTGGCCATCCTCCATCCCTCTTTCTTTCCCCCTCCTTTTCCCCCTTTTCGCGTTTCGATCGGCAGAACAAATCGTGAACTTCGACGATCGTTAATTACGTTCGCCGAACGAAACTTTTGACAATGTATTGCGGAATTGCTGCCGGGCCACGAATTTCAATGGCAAAGTAGCAAAGTTCCATGAGTGGTTGCCCCTGTAACTTTCCACTTTTCGTTCAATTTCAGCCCGCTTTGTTACCGCCCGTGTCGTAAAATTCTGTACTTAATATAATCGAAATTTATTAAGGATTCGATGCACAATAGAAAATGAATAATACCCGTTGGATTTCCGCGTAATTCAACGAGGCGAGGTTTCAATCATCTATTTCTGCCGTATCCTGCAGATATTTTGCATTTGACCTTTTTCGTCGCTGTCCCTTACCTGACCGGTTCAACTTTGTTGCTATTGTGCATCGTGTAATTGGCGATACAATCAGAGAGTGAATGATTTTACGACTCTACGATGATTCTAAAGAATAAGTAAAAAAAAAAAGAAAAAAAATGAATAGGAATGGAACTTTTCCATTTGATATCTCGTGTTCAACAAAACAGGCTTTGAATGTAATATTTGTCATTCATTTAATCGAATATACTTGACGAATTCTCAAACTTGATTTTATTACTTACTTACGTCTCAAGTTATTCTAATTGTAAGTCTCAAGTGAAAAGGTTACTGCCTCTCTTTGACCTGTTGCAGAGTCATTCCCTGTTTAATGAACAAGTAATACAATACCCTACGCATGTGCATATATATTAAAAAAATATGAAGAATATCGGCTAGCCGCCTTGTTACACGCTGACGAATTTTGACGGCTTGCTGCAAGCGTTCCTTGCCGAATATTCGGCAAAAGTTTACCGAACAATTAAATTTAATTGACGGTTAGTGGTCGACCGGCGCGAATCGCGTGTCGATGTCGCTCTACTCTCGACGAAAAGGGGGAACGGAAATGGACGCGTTATCATGGTCGCGCGGATCGAGGACGGCTCCTCGACACGGCACTTTCAACTTTTTAATTAATCAATCGACCGACGCCCGCGAACGACTTTCTTTGTCGGTCGAGCGGCCAAAACGAAATGGCTGACCGCGGATCTGATCGATCACGAAAATTCCCCCCGCGCTCGACCTCACCCCGCTTTGCGCACCGTATACCACATACGCAATCTCGTTGCTCTTTTCTGTTCAAACCGTCGAAAATTTAATTACATGATATTGGCTTTCCACGAGGATACTTTCTGTGACAATGTCCAAAGCGTGGAAAAACGCGGAATGAAATTTCGCCGACCGCTGTCCGGCCGCAATTTGTGTCGGCGAGACAATAACCACAACGGAGCTTTCAAAAAGTCGCAACATCGACGATATATATACATATATATATATA